GCTTTTATAGTGACCATTAAAGAAAAACCATGTTACTTACTCTTCTTAAAACTTACAGGAAAGAAACACAGGTCTAAAATGCAGCCTGTGTTGGAAAAGCAATCTAATTGGTTTCTTTTTCTGTTGTACATGTTTGTGAAGTTGTTATCTTTCATATATTGGCATTTTCAATGTGGGACTTGGAACTCCCATGGTCATGAAGCCCAGTGGTAATCAAATTTTCTAAATGACCACGTTATTAATAAAAATAAATGGTGGTAATTATAGTTAATCATTATGTAATATTGCATCAAAATTGACAAAAAGCCAACTTCGTGCACTGTCATCACAAACGTTATGATAAAAAGCAAACTGTGTTACTTATTATTTTTTTTAGCTTAAAAGAATGATTCTTAGGATTGACATACAGCTCAAATAAGAAAACCAGCTCTATTGGATTATCATTTTATATTGAATTAACGCAACTTTTTGTGAAATTCTCATTTTTCTCATTCTGGCATTTTCTAAGTATGAACTTGAACTCTCATGGGCCTGCTTTTACTTTCATCGGTATTACCTGTTTTGCATAATTTAAATTTGATGTTGACTTTGCAGTTAAGCGTAATATATTATTGCATCAGAATTGACAGCATCCTATTTTGTGCATTATTACTTTGTGCTTTTCTTAAGATGTGACTTATGGGCCTGAAAGACCTTTGAGAGGGTCAGTCTGTAAATTTCCCTTGGGTATCACTAAGCTAAGTTCAGAGTTATAAAGTCATTTGCCTAATTAATAGGTTATTAAATGAGATTACATAAAGCACAGTTGTTGATATTTCCCTGTAAACTCCCAAAGATTAAGCCAGTCTGCTAGATTAATAATAAGGAAGCAGTGATAATTATGCAGGTAAATTTTGCAATATCTCTGGGTCCACTCCTGTTATTGACCATGTTACCTGTTGTGCATGATTAAAATTCAGTGTTGACTGACAGTGCTATTATAAGCATTATTTATTATTGCATCAAAATTGACAAAATGACCTATTTTGCATCTTTATTTTCTGTTTTTTGTCTGTACATTTGACAGCTTTGTTGCCTTGTTTTTTCAATCAAAATCTTATATAGAATGACAATCCCCACGTCGCTATACTGGGCATCCGTTCAAAGAGCCATGAGATTTCACAACATTACGAAGGTTGTAGCTGTTGCCATTAACGCTGATGGACTTGACACAGCCTTCCAGTCCTCTGGTTATAAATGGACGGCTTGGAGCTGAAAAAAGAAAACCTGTCAGTGAAACACCCCAAATTAGGTACCTAATTTTCCCTCGACTACCTTATTATTAGCTTTAATTTGATGAAGTTATGTAAAATTATTTTATTAGATGTGAACATAAAGACTTCTTGACAATGGAATCATGGCAACACTGATATTACCATTATGCAGATTTGCTACCCAAGAACTTTAAAACCTACCTTCAACTCCACCCACATACAGAGGAGCTGTGATTGTAGGAATCACAAAACCCCTAGGGAAAGCATAATTCTCTCTAGGCTCCTGGTCAGCCTCTATTGAGACCCCCACTCTACTGATCCTTGCTGTAACAGTGTGGTTGTTATTGTCACAGATGACGTGTCTGATTGTCTCATGGGACAGGGCAGCCATGAATGGGGTGAGGGGGTCTATGGCATTACTTATGACAGCACGCAACTGGAAAAGAAAAACTTGGTGAACTTTTCTGACTGTTAAATATATCTATCAGACATGAATGACACAGCAGTGTAAAGATTTATGACCTAAAGTAACTTTTCATCTTGTGGGCTATGTTTTGAAAACATATTTTAGGATTAAAAAATTTGAAAGCAATTTACTACCAACACGGGCTGATTTTTGTGTAATGATTTTTATGTCCACATGAACACTTCTGTTATACAGATTCTTTATACATACCCTGCCTTCCACGACCTCCAGTGAGAAGAATGAAGAGTTACTGGAATAGATGCTCACCAGGCTGGCTGTGTTATTGGCAGCTCTGAATGTTAGGCTTATTGTGGAATTCTCTTCAACTGTTACACTCTCAACTGAAAAATAAGAAACATTTTTTGGTGATGACTGAGAGTGAAAATGGTTCTTTGCTGAAATAAACGTAAAGAGTTTCAAGAAAGTGATGTGGTTATGGACTAACAGAAATTCAATACCCTTGATATGAAAATGGTCCTTAAAAAGACCATTGACACCAAAGTGTATGTGACAACCACTTCTGCTTTACCCTCATGTATAGCATGTACACGTCCCTGATTCATATTATATCTATTACTAAATGCTAAAACCAGCAGTAGCAACAACCCTGAATTAATGTCATTAAAAACATTTGCAAAGTGTCAGAAGAAGGAAAGTATTTTCATACCTATTTTCAGATATCCAGCTCCATTTAATGATGTCCCAGTATTGACACTAGCATAACACAGGGAAGTACCCAGTGACTGGTCAGGATTACTGAAATGGCAAAATTACCTGAGCAACAAAGTTTTAACAACCCTTTTCTCTTTTTACATAGTAGAATTTTTTGTTAAATTCACACAACTGACATAATATATTTCATTTCCATTTATTTTCCAATGTATATGTAGATATCAATTGCTCTATTATTAGCCATTTTTTATCACTTTCCATTATACCCAATCCACCATCCAAACCCAAACCATCTCCAACATTTAACATCAAAACTTACTGTACGTTGAACTTGGTAATGTAACCCCTTTCAACAAAGGTAAGAAAGTTATATCTGTTGCTTAAAACAAAGTTTAACACAGGACTAACATTTTAAAGCACAGATTCTTTTTTTTTTTTTTACTTCAGTGACAACTTTTCAAAACATTTACTTGTCAACTAGGAAAATTACCAATTCTACACGTGTGACAGTATACAATAATCCAAAGGTGGACAGTAAAATAAGTTTGTTTCTAGTTATTTTCTTGATCTTCTTTGCTAATTTTTATTGAAAAAATGATAATACTTACAGCACACTGAAGATGTATGCATTGGGGTTATTGTGGGAGTTCATTTCCATCTTTCTTATACAGCCATGGAAAGGAGTCTTGCCAATCTGAAAGTGAAAAAAAAAATGCAGGATCATATTCATTAGACAAACTCAACATAATATTTTTCTTGGCTTTTGTAGAAGTTTTCTGGTTCAAGTAACAATTACAGTTCTTTATTTCTTATTTTGTGATTATGAGTGCACAGCATATTGAAAAAAGCTCATTTCCCCTTAAAAAACTAACTGAAGAATCCTACAAAACTGCAAATGCCCTTTCATGGTTTATAAAATAATTTAAATGTAATCAAGTGGCTTTACAATAAAATAAAATATGACACTTGACACTTGAGGTAACATACTGGAAGTGGAAAAGTTCCGCCAAATCGAGAATCCACCCCACCAAGATAGAAGTTTGTGGTTATGAATAAATTAGTTGGAATCGTAGAGATTTGCTGATTGTTCCTGTAATCCTTGGATACTACCAAGGCAATAAAATCATTGATTCGGAGAACAGTTGCCTGAAAAAAAAAACATATAAAAAGCATGATAATGGGATATTAAAAATGGATAATTCTGCAATTAAAATCTTCTGTCAATTAATCACTGAAGGCTGAATAACATGGTAAACAATAAAAATAAAATTACTTGACATATACACACAATTATTCTTATTATATTTGCAAGTTCTAGAATGGCAAAGGGTACTGTAATGCTGGAATTGATAAAATAATATGCACACTGTGGCAATATGTACACTATAATAGATATACTGTAAATCTCACCTCCCACCATTCTCCATTATCATAAGTATGTCTAGATGTCACAGCCCTGGTGAAATTGGAGCGTGTGCTGCTCGACATAGTGAAGACAAGATAACCATTTTCTAAGTACAGTCCTATCCAGTATTCTGGGTTGACATATCTGTTTGCTGCGTAGTAGAGAACACCATTAGGAGAGAGGGCTCTGAACTCTGTGATCAGGACAAAACTGGAATGGATTGGCAATGCTACAGTTACAGTTGTTACAAGACCATTAAGGCAGCACAACACAAATTACATATGTGCATATTTGGTATTTGCAATGAAAACAACAAGAAAGAAACAAAATGACAAAATAATGAAGATGATCTGTTATTTTTATATACAGCTAGGGGCTAGCAAGGCATGCATAAAAATTAATTGACAACTTAACATATCTTTGTTTTATCAAAACTCTAGTTACCTTAAGATTATGTGTAAAGTGTGAGAAAACTCCCTTGGCTTGAAAAGAATTTTTTAAAAACTTTTAAAAACATGCCCTATGTATGTTATCACAGAATATATTTTGCTCACCTATTGTTAAATAAATTCCTGTTAGATATATTGAAGGCCATATAGCTGTCTGGCTGGTCTCCAAACCTAACAGAATCACTCAGGTAGGTCAGATTTGATGAGGGAGCACATGTGGGTGGGGCAGTGGTGGGGGGTGGGAGGGTGGTGGTGTAGGGTGGGGGTGGGGTTGTGTCTGGTGGGGCTGGGACACCACTCAAATACATCCCTGTTTGGCCTGTTAACTGGCTAGTACTGAAGAAATCTACTGATCTGAAAAAAAGAGAGGATAAATTAGTTGTTGATCAAACTGGATTTTGATGTTCCAAATTTGTCCTTTTTAACCTGTTTATGTGAGCTTTTTACTTGATAAGAAATACATCATAAATTGCAGCTTATTATCCTGATGAAACCACTCAATACATCTGCACTCAAAAATATAAAAAATACCTCAACACATTTTTCATCAACATTCGTTCTGCACTAATTATAAAGCAATTACCAAACCATCTCAATTTCTACACAAACCTTGAATTAACAGCCACTTTCTGTACTCCACCAGCAAAAGATGAGAGTACTGGGACTTGGGTGTGTACAGCAGAAGGAGAGGACACACCCCCTATGTACAGGGTGCTCCCTCCACCAGTGAGGGGATGTTGGTCTGATGACAAGGTGTCCAGGCTTACCACATTGATACCATCAACTACCAGTCTGGGCCTAGCAG